ATATCCGGATTCGTGTGAACGCGCCCTAAAACACGGCTGCTTTTGACTTAAGGCTGTAGCTCTTTCCCCCCTGCCCCATCCCCAGGTAATAAAAAAGGAAGAAAAAAAAAAGCCTGAATGAATAAACTGGCAGGCGAATTTGGAGCTGGTAACACTTAATGGCTCAGTCAATTCCAAACGTGCCCATTCCCTCCCCCCCGGGCATTTGTCGGGCATCTGTTATCTTGTAGGTCCCGGTGGTGGGTATTTGTCAGAAAACCTCTGCCCGGGGGTGGGGCATTTCTCAATTTTTTTAGAAGCGGTTAACGTCGTTCCTTTTTCAATATTTCACTAAAAAATATACCTAGTTAGATAGCTTTATAAAGAATATTTTTAATATCTATGCTTTAAAAAGATATGCGCGGTTTTCGCTCCATCTTTTCCCTACCCCACAGTATTTCTCAGTCTGAGAAATTGCTTCCCGCCATCGTGATCGGCTCGCACATGGAAGAAAAACAATCAAAGTATCGTTTGAAAAGTTTAAAGGAAAAGACACTTTCTTTGCGCGTGTTTTGTCGAGGCAGAAAGGCCTAGAAAAACTTTGCGAGATGTTTGAAAGCTAAAACAAACTTCGTGTATTGTACGATCAGTGCGACAATTGAACGGATCCTGATTCATGAGAAGATAGTTATTACACATGTAAAGCGCGTCGGTTGTTTGTCTCATTTACTACATTAAACATCTTCGAAAATAAGAAAGGTATTACTAAAATTCTAATTTAGAGTTCTGTCATTGAGATTAATCAGATCAATGTGATCTTTTTTGCAATAATTATAACAAGCGGCTAGGAGCGGTTTGCGTCAGTCGTAGGGTGCTTCACGCGCGAGTTTGATCAGATTATTACAGATTTTCCGTAAATATGGTATTTGCAGCTTATTTACTGGAAAATGCAATTTTGGTGTTGTCCCAGGGTGGGGCAGTTGCACCCAATTGTTGAGCCCCACCGTGGAGTTTTTGTATGCAACCGCCCGACCCCACCGTGGGGCATTTGCAGCTTCAGTTTTCCAAAACAAAATGGCAAATGCCCTGGGGTGGGGGGAATGGCACGCTTGGAATTGACTGAGCCGTGAACTGTAAAATGTAACTTCTTATTATCTCGGTAGCGTGTTGTTTTTTTGTTGCAAATCTTGAAGCTTTCTGCAGTTTTAGTTTACGATGGTCCAGAGATACGGCAGAAATCCCTAAAACAAACCGCTATATTTAGTTGCTGTCTTCTTGTGCTTACCGAGCATACATATATTTGCGCACGCTACAAATCGTCGATCACGCTAGACCCACTATGTTTCTTTGTGATTGCCTACGTTGTTACAGTTATATTTAAAAAAAAAGCAAAGAGGAAAGTTAGTAACAACAAAACTAAAAATAAAGAAACATTGTTCACTATGACTAAACTATTTACCTCGTGCATGTTAGCAGCGGTAGAGAGCGGTCAGAGCGATCTTTGTGGTTAAAAATCCGGAAAACATCTAGATTTTACTTATTTGTGATGCATTCTAAACCGAAAAAAGAAGCTTTGATAATCGCGTCAGTTCGATTCACGCGTTCATCAATTGAGAACAGGAGAGAAGAGGGCTGCGTAAAGAATCTTGCTGTAACTCAGCCGCTCGCGAATTGAAACTTTTGGTATATCGGCCATATCGGAGAGCGCTACTCTCAATCTGTATGACAAAATACTCGGTCCAAAATCATAAATCGATTTTCAGATTTTCAGATCGACAACGTACCTGGGTCTTCCGTCCATTTTAACCACTTTCTGGAACTGGATTCAGTCGCTCTGCAAATTTCAAACGAAAGCATGAATGACAATTCTTTGGGGTGGGTGTCACCTTTAAGTTATATATTTCAATCGCCTTTAATTTGAAGTTATATATTCACAATCGCCAGGATAATTTGAAAGACGATTTGAGAACTAGAATTTTAATTTGTTTAAAATTTCTTGCTTGTTTCCTGTCCTCAAAATGGTATAATTGCCCATTTTAAACACCCTAAAAAAGGCCACCTAACTTTGCTTTTGTGCGTTATGTGTTTTTTATAATTTTCGGATCATAGACTTTCAGCTAGGAAATCCGAACAGATGAAAATTCAGTTTTATTAGATTTTTAACCTAAAATACGTTCAACAACGCTATGTTGAGTGGTTTTGAACTATATCCTCGATCAGGCCCCTGAAGTATGTTTTTTCATCAGTAACCGACCCATCAAATGAGATAGGTTTGATAGATTTTTAAAATTGGCGAGAAGGCCGACCCATCAAAAGATAGGACAAAAAGTGGAAGATGGAAGTCGGAGAGGGGTGAGAGGCAAAGAAGTAACAACTTAGTAGCTATATATTTGCGGGACCGGCATCTAGTATTGTTCCTCGCGAACCGAGGCCGAATGCGACTTTTGGGGGGGTTTGCGAGTAACTATTAATATAGCTTTGATTTTTGCTATACAACTTTGTTGGTGGCCGGCCAGTGGTGGTGGTGGTTGGAGTTAGAGTTGCACACTTTTTTTTCGCTTCTCAATTTTTCCTCTGGTCCTCACTCCTTTTAACATGGATTAGCTGATTTCTGATGTCACTACCCCCATCAAGGGACTAATAAACATAATGAAACAGATGGACCTCACAAAATCAACAGCTAAAGAGTAATTAACTGATTCATTGAACTTGCCTACAGATCTTGGACTTTTCTTTTGCTTTTTTTTTAGACCAGAATGATCAAAGCGCGAGGCGAAGCAGAGATTCACGCCTGCCCCTGCGACCTACTTTCGCTCGCACGAAAGATGCAGAAATGACGCCTGTCTTTGAACTGTTACGACAGGTCTCAGACTGACCAGAAAACGAACTGCACTAGTCGAGCCCACTGCAGCCAACGGCGCTCCCAAGGTTTTTTAATTTCCCATTTTTTCAGTACTTCCCATTTTCTAAGGGAAAAGGCCCTGGGGACGAGGTTGTACTGCAGTTGCAGCTAGAACTTTCGCAATTTACTCAGTTTAAAATGATGCTAAAAATAACTTGATCTGTGAAAACGCCGTTGCATAGATATAGGCGAAGTATGGGAGTTGCACTCTCCGGGTTATGGGCTCCTGCCTGCCGAAGGCATTTCCGGCTCGTCATCTCTGGACTGTCCAAAACCCTTTCCGCGCACTTTACGGCATCCGAGTAGTCGAGCCGTGGGGTCCCTGCCCATACAGCGTTACCTTAGCAGAGCAGACATAAAGTAACTGTTTACAGTCAACTCTCTCTTAGACGGACACCTTAGGGACCGGCACTAAGTTAACCTCGTTCCCAGGGTCCTCTCCTACCGGTCTCCGCGAAGCGAGAGAAAGTCCTCGCTCTCGCTCCACAAGGACGGGTAGAAGAGGACCCTGGGAACGAGGTTGGCACTACCCGTCCGTCTTGCAGAGTCAAATAAAGGGAGTGAAAAAATGCAGGGAGCAACTCTAGATGTCCGTTTTATAGAGGTGTCCGTTAAGAGAGAGTCGATCGCACTAATTTATTTATTTCGGCTACCTACTTAATTATTTATTTCTTTATTTTATTCATTTTTTTTTTTTTTGACTCGACCCAGTTTCCAGTCGACTGAAAACGCAGAAAAGTCAGACGTTACACTGACTTACACTCTTTGGAAAACTCTCTTTTTCGCTAGTCCACAAAGACATGACCGCTGTCTTCAAACAACTCGTTCGAGAGCGTTTTCAAATGAAGCCCCAGTTTACATTAACCCTGTTCAGTTTGATCGCATAAAATCTATTAGAGGAAAACGTGGACAGGGTTTTACTGTATTTGTATTTTTTAATTGGTTAATCTCAAGCCAGCGGTCCGTGCAAGCCTGTGAACAGGCCCTCCGGTTTGGGGGAAGGCGAGAAAATATGGCACAACTCTCTCCCACCTCTCCCCTCCCTTTTTCATCCACTCTTCCCTCAATATAGAAAACAGTGTATGGTAATTTTTTTAAAACTCGGACTCATAATCAATCCTACTAAATTTCTAAAGCAGCTAGAAACATATCTGAATTTATTTACTGAGAATGTTTAACCTAAGCACATTTGCCACTGTTCAACTTGGTGACGGATTGAGGGTGCTTATTAAAAGTAACTCTTTCGCCTAGATACCCCAATCTTGCCTTTTTCGCCGTTTTGGAGGTCTCCGCCTAGAATGATACGTTCGACTGTGGTCCATATTTAAAACAATAATAATAATAAAATAAAAAACATAACAAAAGCGTTGTTTCCTCCTACGGCAGAGGATATGGGATAATTTCTTGATTTCGTGATATTGATGCATTTTTCTATACAGAGTGCGATCAGAGAGGCAATCTAAAGGCCGATACACACGAGGGATTTTGCTCCAGGGGCACTCTCCGGAAGCAAAGCTCCTCCGTGTGTACCAACGATTTCATGGGTGTACTTCATCCTCGGGAGCAGAATTTCCACCCCGCAAAATGCTACACGATATTTAATAGGTTAAATATTTGGGAGCACGCTCTCGGGGCAAATTGAGCGAACTTGAAAACGCTCCCTCGTGTGTACTGACACGTGCAAAATGAGCCTGGAGCATGCTCCGGGAGCAAAACCCCTCGTGTGTATCGGGGAGGGAGAGGGAGGAACGGTCAAGATTTTCAATTATATTCTGGTTTCTGTTTTGCTTTTCTAACAGGGATAGAGTGCAGATGGAGAAAGGGGTGAGGGGGACAAAGCCAAGGTTGTTGATACACAATTTACTTCCTTAAATGGGCCAGTGAATATGGAGGAATCACTTCGATAAAAAGTGTTATGAAACGAATTGTTATTAACTATAACGTAAACTAACTCAAATGAATAAAATACTTTTTGGCATGGAATAAATAAAATATCAAAACGTCAAAAAAATAATATTACAATAATAAACTGTTTTGCTATTAAAATAATTCCATTGTTTGATTTCTTCCAATGACTGTATTCATAATTACATTTTAGCTAATTAACCTATGTTTATATTTATTTTCGGGCATGAAAGAGGCCCCATTTCTGGTCTCCCCGGCCACAGCGATCAAGTTTGGTTTCCCAGTTCTCAACAAGGTACTCAAAGTCCTCTTTGGTAAAGTCCTGGTTAAAAGATAAAGAACAAATGACTGTCAAGAATAAATTATATAGCTGACTAAAGCATAAAGCCTCGTGCAAACGGACGCAACATTGTTAGCAGGAAAATCCCACTTCATTACTGGTCCCGAGGGAAACAGCTAATTTGTTTCCCGAGAATCTCAATGTTTCCCGAGGGTCTTTTTTAGCTGGAAGTTCACTAAACCTCGCTGTAACGGCGGTCGGTCGTTCATTCGCGGGTAACAGTGCACTGTTACCCTCTGACGTCATAGATTTTGCAACGTTGCCCGCTTTCAACCTCGTTCCCAGGGTTATCTCTCTTGCTTCGAGAAAGAACCCTGGTTGCAGCTGCTCACGTGGAAATGTGTGTCAATAGGGAGCTTCAGCAACTACGACGACAACCACAACGACGACTTCAAAAAAACAATAGGTTTTATGATAATAAAAAAATAGCTCTGCAGGTGCATCACGTTTCTTAGTACATTTCTTTGACGTCCACTGCACGACTACGACGTGAAACCTCCTAACTGGACGTTTCATGAGGGACGTGGACATACGAAGACGAATTTCCCTTCCTCTTTTTGAACCTGAATAAAATCCTTAAGAATTCAACCTCAGGAAAAGTCGCCTGCATTTGACATATTGAGTGGGTCCAAATAGACGCGATAAAGTTTGAAAGAACGCAAATTCATATTTTTACCGACCTTTTCACTGCCGTCGTCGTCGTCCTTGCTTAAGGTCCCTAATAAATTGCGCAGCGGGGGTAGGTCCTCCACTAAATTTTGTCGACTGTTCTGAGTTGCATGCAAACTGCGTTGCTTTCGGCTACTTACGATAACGTTATTTTTAAGGCAAAACAAGTTATTTGTTCAGAGAGTTAGTACTTGAAAAAAAATCGCTCGCCCTCCTGCCAACAGGATACGGAAAATGTATCTCGATTTGCACGTAAAAATTTGCATACTCCGCACGTGCAGTTCATGAAAGGGAAAAGATAACGTAAAAGTCAGGTTTACATGAATCACCACCCAAACGGCAGTTTAAAGGTTGTTATGGTATTTTCCGCTTTGGTTAATTTATCGGCTGGTGCACGATATATACCAAGTAAATAGTCAACCTCGTTCCAAGGGTTCTCTCTCTTACATTAAGCACACTATTTTTCGGGTGTTGTAGATATTTTCAAAAACCCGCGTAATCAGCTGATAATAAACGAGGCGGCAAACTCCTCTCCAGGCCCCGACAGAGTAACTTTCGTCATAGCGACAATTATTTACTTTTCTTCCCCTCCCTTATTTTTGGCTCCTAGATTTTAGGAGCTACGTAACCAGCCGTTCTTTCTCGAGGAAAGAGAGGGAACCCAGGAAACGAGGTTGGCCCGCTCAGAGATTTTGGCGGGAAACATTTTCAATGTTAGATGTCATGTGACCTTGAAATAGCCAATGAGAGCGCGCGCTGTTGGAAAAAAATTTCCAGCCATAAAACAATGTTGGATGTTACAAGTTATGTCCGTTTGCACACCCTGTTGCATGTTGGCTCGCTGCGTGTTGTTAGGAGTTGTTGCACGAAGTTTGAAACCGGTCAAACTTTTAGCTACGCGCAAACGGGCGCAACAACTCAATTCAATTCAATTCAATTTTATTATTCACACTTTATAAAATATTTACATTATATATAGTAAGGTAGGAATACACTAATAAAGGAGAAGAAGAAGGGAAAAAAGAAAATTAATGGCTTGGATAGAAGTGTACGATGGTCAGAGGAGTTTAGCTTTCGAGCTAACCACCGCTATATTATGATTGGAAATACATAATAAATGTGCGCTTGGTGCCATGACAACTATGGACGATTATACCAGCAGTCAGGTTATGTGAGACAGTCACATTACAATTGTTACCTTTGAGAGTTAACTAGAATTCGCTTATATTCTTTTTTGAACTTATGAACTTAAACTTATGAACTTACTTTTGAACTTACTTTTTGGAACTCCCAACAATGATGGGAGTTGTTGGCCAATAATGTTGCGTCCGTTTGCACGGGGCTTAATAGGGCAATTTATACGAGTTGTTTTCGTCTTACGTAAGACATGCTGGTATAAATGGTACAATGTTCATCTTATTTGGGACGAGTCTTATGTAACAGACGCGTTTTATTTTTCCTGGTACGAATAGCCTTAATTTCTCCATAAACCCTTGCAATACGTGTATCTGTTTTATCTATTCTCCCTTATTTCTCCTTGCAGAATATTGCTTGGACTATTATTTGCTGAAGGAGATGATAATTCATACATATATTTTTTATACCTTCAAAAATAAACTTTTCTCTGTTTCAAATCTTGCTCTTTCTACTTTGAGAACTTCAACAAATCTGGCGGTGTTGTCTATGGCTTTAACGTTTCCGAAGCCTACTTGCTCCAGAAGCTGCAGGGAAAAACGAAAAGAGGAACAGTCATGGTAATTTCAAAACTGACAAAAACGTTTCAAACATAGTACCTAAGCCAAACAACAAAAAAATGAAAAGAACGAACAAATATGTCCAAGGCCCTCGTCCAGACCGACACGTATCCTTCTTTGTTTGAAAACGCAATGGTATTCAGTTTTCAGTGAACAGTCGCATCCACTCATAGTATTTTTAGTTCGAATCGCCTTCGCCTTGCATCCACTCAAATGCGCTGCAAATGTTGGAAAACGAATGTTTTTAATACTTACAAGCTTTGAATGATTCTATTTTTTTTTCCATTTCCCTAACATCAATATTCGATCGACAAAGTTGTCTTACCAAGCTCTATTACGCGTGCTGCTGGAACTTAGAAGCCCCGAGATCTTGCATGTGGACTTCCGTTGAGTCGAATTGTAAACAAAGGGATACGTGTGCACGGGGACTGAAATTCTTCAGATATATTTAAAAAAGCCCCAATTACACACCTTGTTATTACACTGGCACCCACTAACCATTTTTAATGCCTTTTTTAAAATTTAGAACAATCCTGGTCAAAAGTGCTCAGTGAAGAGTTTTTGCTTGATGAACGTGGATAAGTTGACCGATAATGAGTACATTTTTCTTCTGGGAATTAAATTTGCAATTTCATTCAAGACGATTTCAATTTTACTTCTTATTTTGCTTCTTCTTCTATTTAGTATCATTCCTGCTTCCGGCCCTGTTCGCACAACGACAAAAAAGATAGTTTGGCGTTTGCAAAAACTCTAAAAATAAACAAAAAATTGCAAGACTCCAAATCTACTTGAAGGCAACTTTGAAGTTTGGTGTCAATTGAGGACATTTTTTGATTGGTGAAAAAATTGTTCGCACTAGAAATGGCTTCCTGTTGAAAGAATTTTAGCAAAACTAAAAAAAATTTGCGCAATGTAAACAGAGCCATGGGAAAACCTCTTACCTTCCCATAGTCGGCTGGTGTGAGAAGATGGTAATGGCGTTTTGCAACATATACCTTCATTGCTTCAGACAGCTCATTGGAGCCGCGACAATAATCTGTTATGAGAAGTTCACCACCAGGCTTCAGCCATTTCTGTCAAGAGATGAAAACTCCCATAAAATAGAGTCAATAAGTATGCATCAATATAAAAAATTGCTTGCGCATTATGAGTTAGGCTATTTTCACACTAGGCCGCATAGATTTTCATGCCGACACGTGAACACTCGTGCTTATTACAGTGGAACCCCGCCTTACGACCAACCCGTTTATAAGACCACCTCGTTATTACGGCCATATTCTTTCAAACCAAACGTAAAAACCATTGACTCATTTTATTATTTTGAGGACCCCGTTAATGCAACCACCTCGTTATTACGGCCAGGATTTTATGGCCCAACGGTGGTCGCATTTATGGGGTTCCACTGTAATCAAAAACTACATAAAACGTCACAAAAAGTAAACTTACAAAAAAGTTTGCAAAAAGTGATTTCTTATCCTCAATGTGAAGAATTGTGTCCCTGCTATAAATGACATCAAATGATTCTGGTTTGAAGTCAGCAGTTGTTATGTCTGCGACAACAAACTCAACCTGGATGGTAAAAATGTAAAGAAAATTAGCAATAATAATAATAATAATAATATTAATAATAAACTGAGTAATAAAAGATAAAACTGACAAAGCAAACAATGAAGTATTTTATTGTTTAATTTCAGTTTTCCACTGATACAATGCTTTCCAACACAAGCCTGTTACAGGCATTGGCTCCTGACTCATCTGTGTTGTTGATCAGCTGACATACACATTCAATATCATATTGAGTGCAATTCAGTGTTAGTTATAGTCAATTATCAAAATTAGGAGATACCGAGATTGAGACTGCAAAGCCATCCGACATCAATACCTTATCATCCTCAAACTCCTTGGCTCGCTGTTTTCCAATGTCAATCATGTTAGTTGACAAGTCAACACCAAGCACTTCCACGTTGAAATTCTAAAATAAATTTTATTAAAAATCATTTTGACATTTTGACACTGGCTAAGCAGTGATATTACAAAGAAAAATTAAATGCCTGGCTCTAAAGAGCTGTTTGAGAGTTTCATGCATAGGAAATAATAAATACCAGTAATACACTGTAGGACTTGGTGGAGTGGTTTGCGATTATACAAGTGATTAGCTGCGTGACAAAATCTGTTTAATAACCATATGATTACAAAAAAATGGATGAAATCCAGAACCATCTGACAGTTTGAAATATAGTAGTTAAAAAACTACACCAAGGAACAAACATGTCATTACAGAAACTAACGTCGTAACTTGTAAGAAGATGGCGCAAAGTGGTGTACAATATTTCAGCTTTAAGAGTCAGAGTCATGAATGATGAATACAATGCCTGCTGTTATTTATAGCTATTTAATATCCAATGAATGATGGCCTTAAAGAGAATTTGATCCATTCAAGTAAGTAAGATTTTTGCACATCTTGGTGGAATAGCTATAGATAACTGCAAGTTTTCTAATCCTTAATTTTCAGAAGTATCTCATTTACCGTAGCTTTAAAAAGACCATAAACAAACTAACAAAAGCACTATGGCTTGGCACATGACTGCCAAATACATCTCTCGCTGAAGAAGCAACTTCTATTTATTTTAGTTCCCAAAATTACTTTTTTTCCCCATGGCAACCAAAATGGTAGCAGCTTGGAGCACTGCAAGGGAACCTTATTTGCAGTGCCATTCTGAACATTTTCCATACCTTCACCATGTAAAATGCACCACCACCAATTCCACACCCAACATCAAGTACTTTTTGTCCTTGCTTGAGACTAAGCATTGCTACAATTTCCTAGAGAAAATAAAGACAAAAAGAGAAAAATGAGCTAGGTCCAGAGGTGATTATTGATTATCAGTAGTTGTTTCAAATTCTTATTTCATGAGTGGAGTGTCTGTAAATTAGCTTGAACAAATATATGTGCACTTGCAAGTTATAATTAACTGGAGTAAATTAAAAATAATAACCAAATTGAATTCCTATGATCTGGACAAGCTGTCTACAAAGAGAATTTCACAAATGCAGCCTCCATGTCCCCCGTACTACACCCTGTTTGCCCCTCACATTTTGCATAAGTTATTGTCGTCAAATGCCCTTGGGAATACACATTCTTCCCAAGAGCATTATTTGGAAAACAATAGAGAATGACAAATTGCTTCTGTTACCCTCCCTGCATAGGGCATATGCAACTCCCTGCCCCAACCATTGATCTGCTGAGTTAAGGAAAGCTTCATGCCTGAAACTGAATAAAGGCCATGACAAAAACAGAGAATGGTAAGCATCTGCTCTATTCATTATAAGCCTCTGATCCCAGAGGGGATGGGGGGGGAGGGGGGGACTCAACAAGATTCCAAGGTACAACCCCTTGCACTTTTATATACCATTTTTGACAGAAAAGGGGCCCCTTTCATATACCTTTTATTGACAAATGATACCCCTGTCACATACTAATTTAGAACACTGCATCTTTTTAACTGCTGTAAATGTGTCCTCTTTTAAATATGAATAAACCACCAAACCAGAAAGTTCTCTTGTCCTTTTCACTGCCATAAATGAATAAAATGCTTCTGTTAGCCCTTTTAGGTCCTTCTACAGACCGCAATGACAGATTTCCCAATGCACTCTTTCATACGCTTCAACTGGTGACATCCCTACCCTTTCATATGTACCTGACGCCTGAAAAAGGTACCCCTTTTGGGCAGAGCCTCCCCGTATAGGCCATTAATATTATAGGGAGGACCCCCTGGGCCCTGCAGATTTGTAGTTGATTTGAATTGTTGAGTTAAGAAAAGCTACTTGCTTAACACTGAATCAAAGACCATTACACAAGGTTACTCTCTGCTCTATTCATTTTGAGGCATCTGATACACAATCCTTTTAAGATCAATTCCTGTTTCTCCCCCCTCCGGCCCTCCCTCCGATGTACAATTTCCTAGATTTTACCCTTCAACATAAAAGGAATTTAAACCCTCAGGAAAACAAGATCAGCGCTGTTCCATTTCCTCATTAGGGGACAGGGAGATATCATACACGTAATGTCAGATCCTGAGGGAAACAGTTAGTTTTGTTTTCCCTCGAAAAAGGATTGTGCTGAAACCCCAGGCAATTTCCCGAGTCGACTGAGGATCAGGTTTGTTTCTTTAACATAAGCTCGCTGTTTTATAGTCCAAAGTCTGACTAGTCTGAACTTGACTTTCAAACAATAAAAAATTGAGATAAAATTTTCGATTTCACCCTCATTAAAAACCTGTAGACTTCATCTAACCAGGTTCAATGAATCTTGCCGTAACAGTCTTTGAAATGCAAAACAAAACTATTCCCTTTTCGTTCCCCTACCTTGGTTGTTTCGAGACCTCCGCTACTAACAAAACCGCGTCCGAAAATCTTCTCATAGCGAAGAATACTGTTGCTGGAATACTGATTTTGGTCAAGAAATTGCTGCATCTCTTCGCTTTTATTAGGCATGATCGGCAAACGTTAACAAATTATCCCAGAGAAGGTCTTCTATCGAAAAAGCCCACACGCGGAAGGAGGTCAAAGAAGATCTCCCAGGAAAGTACTCGTGATCATTGCGCTCTAGGTCCACGTACTTTATGCCCAGCGGTAAAAGCCATCCTGACAGGCGTGATAATCTCCCTCGTTCTGGGCTCTTTTGGCACATTTTTTGTAATCAAAACAATAATAACTCAAATAACCCATTTTTCTTCAGAACGTGGTCTACCCGTTAAAGCAGATGACTATGTCTTCTTTTCGGTACAATTCAAGTACGAATCCTTCCATCGTTCTCAAAGGACTAGAATCTCTACTGGATCTCGAAGAACTTTGTGATGTAACACTTCTTACAGAAGATGGGATGTCAATATCAGCGCATCGTAATATTCTGTCCGTGGGAAGTCCTTACTTCAGGGCCATGTTTACTGGGAAATTAAAAGAGAGTAAAAACGAAAACATCACTTTAAAGGGAGTGACTGGCTGGGCTTTACGATCTATAATTCGATTCATGTACTGCTCTTCTTTGGACGTCGATGAAACCAATGTGGACGACATTCTCAGTGCGTCGGATTTGTTTCAAATGAAAGAGATAAAGAATGTTTGTTGTCAGTTTCTTAAAGAACAACTCCATCCTTCAAATTGCCTCGGTATAGCTGCGCTTGCTGGTGGATTCTCGTGCGAGGAACTGTGGAGCGAGGCCCGAAGATATGCGGTGAAACATTTTACTGACGTAATAAAATGTGACGAGTTCAAAGAGCTCCCCATAGACACTCTTAAACAATTGTTGTTGGATGAGAATGTTTGCATTCGGTCAGAGGAAGATGTATTCAACGCAGCTATTGAGTGGATTGCAGAATCTGTAGACCGTCTGAAGTATTCGGCCGAAGTTCTAAGCTGTGTCCGACTTCCTGTGTTATCTCCTTCGTTCCTGAATTCACAAGTTCTCAGCAATGAATTGCTGTCAAATGATCCTGAATGTAAGCAGTTGTTCAAAGAAGCACTTACTTATGCTTCTTCTCCTACTTCAGAAAAACGTAAGCACTCTTCAGCCACAAAGATGCAGCCTCGCATTCCCTCAGGATTTGGTGATGTCCTTGTTGCCGTTGGTGGTCTCCACCTTGGTGTTCCTGTGGCATCTGGAGAAAGGTACAACTTGTACACTGATGAATGGATCCCAATCGAGGACATGCCCACATTCCGTTATGGTGTTGCAGTCGCCCAACTTCATGGGCAGATTTATTGTCTCGGTGGTTTTGAAAATGGAAGATTCCTGAGTACTGTTGAAAGTTATGATCCCGAGGAAAATGAATGGACAATTCGAGCTCCAATGCTTGTGTCAAGAAAATATTTTGGTGCAACTTGTCTCGGTGGTAAAATCTATGCCTTGGGCGGCTCTAACAGTCAACGACGACTCAAAAGTGTTGAGTGTTTTGATCCATATGAAAATCAGTGGTCCTTTGTGGCCCCAATGTCGAGTCCTAGAATGTACTTGGGTGTGGGCGCTCTGGGTGGACTGCTGTATGCTGTGGGAGGCCATGATGGTATCTTGCGGCTGAGCACAGTGGAGTGCTATGACCCCCAGACAAATGAATGGAGCTATGTGACATCCATGGGTAAGCTCATTGGAAGGTTTGCTTGTATGCCTGCTTTCTGTGAAATGTTGATATTTTCACTTCCAAATCATATTAATTATTTGTGTGTGTGTGTTGCTAAAGCTTTAAGTTGAGCTTGTTTCATTCATCGTCTCAATAAAATCATCATTTCCATAAAGACATGCACAAGTTTGAAGTGACTATGGACTTTTTTTATTAATGATAGCTGAATTTAATAATATTCTTAATAATGGCATTACTGTTCAGGGCTATCAAAAAGTTGTCAAGTAGCAGGCTGATAATGAATAGTAGGTGGCTTTGGAACTCGCACCAAAGGCACAAGTTCTTAAGGGCCGAGGCATCTAGGGACATTTTGAAATTTAGAGTCTCAGAAATGTCATTTCCAGGGGGTTGAAGAGGTATTTTCCACCGCGGATGCCATGTTGTTTCATCAGAATACACGCAACTGATGTTTTACAATTTTATTCGATGGTGCTTATTTTTTTGTTAGCAGTTTTGGTAGATGGAGATTAAAGTAGCCTGCTAAGGATGGCTAACTAGCCAGCAGTTTTGGCCAGTTACCAGCCCTTATTGACAGCCCTGATTGTTTATATTTTTGATATTAATTAATCTACCCCACTAGCCTGGTTAGGATGTGCAAAATACCAAATAATCTGTGCTCCAAAATGAGGCGAGTAGGTCTGATAAAGACATTCGGAACAAAAGCAAAAAAGGAATGATAAATGGACTGCCATTTATTTCAAAAAATTAATGTTGGCTTATGCTTTCATTTAGTAAATTTATTGTCTGGAAGGGAAAATCTTGTTTAGGTTATTTTACCAATATTCAACCAAGGTTATTAGGGTTAGAACCCTGGAAAAATCTAGCCCCAATAGGTTGAATACTGGTTTAGTATGTAATTTACTTAATCTGTAATAAGTCACCATTGGTAGAATCCCATGTAAGGGTTGTTCTTGGTGGTCCTAAAATCAGTTCCAAGGATCAATACAGTACAAGTTTTACCAGTTGAGATTCCTGCATGTTATGTTCAGTTTGCAATTTTTTTATGAGTAACAGTATAAACTATGAGGGTACAAGTAGTTGCTGCAAGCCTTCAGGTGAGCAGGACAGTAATCTTTTGGTGACCTGTGGTTATTTAGGTGTCCTGTTGCTATGTATGCATTTCAATATGATTTTATGTTTGTCTGAATGGTTTTTAGCAAAGATGTCCAACGGTGTCATCATAACTTAATTCCAAATTGTAGCATTCTTATTGCATCATTCTAATAATTAGAATGATACAATAAGAATGTTACTTTAAGTTAAACACACTGTGGC